TTGACTACTAACATCATCGTGATCTGTGCAGCTACCAGAATGTATGACAGAGTTGATGGATTTGACTACTAACATCATCGTGATCTGTGCAGCTACCAGAATGTATGACAGGGAGTTGATGGATTTGACTACTAACATCATCATGATCTGTGCAGCTACCAGAATGTATGACGGACCGTTGATGGGTTTGACTACCAACATCATCATGATCTTTGCAGCTATCAGAATGTATGACAGATCGTTGATGGGTTTGACTACTAACATCATCATGATCTGTGCAGCTACCAGAATGTTTGACAGGGAGTTGATGGGTTTGACTACCAACATCATCGTGATCTGTGCAGCCACCAGAATGTATGACGGACCGTTGATGGGTTTGACTACCAACATCATCGTGATCTGTGCAGCCACCAGAGTTTTTAGGACGTCTAATTGTATGATCATCCTATGATGATGCGATTTTTTAGAACACCATAAGTGGTATATGACAACCAATTAAAGCTTTAAAAATGGCATTCTAACAAACTTTGATAAAAAGAGACCAAAATGTTTTCTCGAGTTTCATTATTTCAAGTGCAGTTTTTATTGTCTTCTTTAGGGTGGAGAAACTAAGTTGTTAACAATAGCCTTAGCCACTTGTGTTCTTCCCTTTCTACCGGCTTCCAATCTCCTCGTGACAGTAGGGTTCGTGGTGGCCGAGCGGGTTCTATACATACCGAGGTAAGGCTAACGTTCTAACGTTTTCGTTAGAGTAAGACTCGTGTTATCCAAGTGGATTATCAACACATGGAGGTAAAGATAACACTTGGTAATAAGAGAGACACAGCCTTTGGAGAAGATGTCAGATCCAAATAGGATACAAATAACGCAATAAACGCTTAATTCCTTGTCCAATAATATATACATCTGACATGAGGATCACAAACCATGTAAAAATATCTTGACACGTTAGTTCCATCAACTTTTCTTTTGTCTGTGTTTGAACATTTATTATATGTTTATATTAGATGTTCTATTGGCATGAGTATTAAACACCCTATATAAAATATTTTACTGAGTATTACAACCAAAGTTCCCTTTTGTCTTTGGTTCAGTGCTGGATTCTTCATTCTCATCGTTCATGGGCTTCAGAAGCTGAAGAGCACAAGGTTCACTTGGAGTTGCAGAGTCATGACTCTGGTTATTGTGACCACCTTCATGTTAAAGACGGCGAGAAGGAACACAGTATGGTCATCGAGAGAAACTCTTTTCAGGTGGTTATTAAACATAAGTCAGCCAGTACTAAATCGAATAGTTGATAAATGAATGAAAAGTGTTTCAATGGTAGCTATGAACATTATTATAAACACGTTAATCACAGTAAATACTCTATGTTTAATTCTAAACAGGAAACTGACAATATAGAACCATTTTCACCTCAGCAAAGAGTAATTCAGCTTAAAACAGGATAATGGTCCACATACAATCCCGCTAGTCTGAACAAATCATAATTCAGCTTAAAACAGGATAATGGTCCACATACAAGCCCTCTAATCTGAACAAATCATAATTCAGCTTAAAATAGGATAATGGTCTACATACAATCCCTCTAATCTGAACAAATCATAATTCAGCTTAAAACAGGAAACTGGCCGGTATATAATCCTTCTGACATGAACAAATTATGATTTACTGCTGTTGAATTTTTGGTGAAATAAAAACCTTAATTTATTGGAACTGATGTTTAGTTGAAGTCTATAGTTATAAAACTAATGGGTTTAAACAGTTCGTGATTCAGTGCTGCAATCTTAACTGAGAATTTCTTCAAGATCTGGACTGGAGTCGGTTCCCCAGAATGCCAAGGTCCACTACAACTTCGCAAATCTCCAAAAAGATCTTGGTGATGTAGACCTTGCAGTGAAGCACTACCGGATAGCTATCAGGTAAAATATGTTAGTTGTTTAAACGTATTATAATATCTCAAACAATGAACATTCTACTTACATATGATGAAATGATGATGTTAGTTGTTTAAACGGGTCATAATATCTCAAACAATGAACATTCTACTTACATATGATGAAATAACATAAGTCAAATAAAATATGTTAGTTGTTTAAACGGGTTATAATATCTCAGACAATGAACATTCTACTTACATATCAGGAAATAACGTAAATCCAGTAAAATATGTTAGTTGTTTAGACGGGTTATAATATCTGAAATAATGATCACGCTACTTCTGTTGTCTTACCACAAGTCAGGTAAAATGTGTTAGTTGTTTAGACGGGTTATAATATCTGAAATAATGATCACGCTACTTCTGTTGTCTTACCATTAGTCAGGTAAAATGTGTTAGTTGTTTAGACGGTTATAATATCTGAAATTGTTTGTTGTCTTACCATAAGTCAGGTAAAATCTGTTAGTTGTTTAGACGGTTATAATATCTGAAATAATGATCACGCTACTTCTGTTGTCTTACCATTAGTCAGGTAAAATGTGTTAGTTGTTTAGACGGTTATAATATCTGAAATTGTTATCACGCTACTTCTGTTGTCTTACCATTAGTCAGGT